TGAGTGTGATGTTTTAGCTGTCAGTCCTGGGAGGGCCCCGGACCGCCAGGCCCAACCCCACTTCCAGCAGCCTGCTCCCCCGGGACTGGCCTGGCTTCATGCCTTCTGCACCCCATCTCCTTGTCCGTCCCTGCTTCTTTCTAGAAGCGGGTGCCTGGCGTGCGTAGAGCTGCAGGGCTGTGTCTCCTTAACTGGAGCCTCTAGAAACTTCTCTCAGCTTCCTCCTGACCATTCTCCGGCCTGTTCTTTCTAGAAAGCCCCTAACACAGTGCTCACCTCCTCATCCCTCTGCCTTCATCATCCTCACCACCCGAGATCGCACCTCAGGGCCCAGTCCCCTCAGCGGGGTGGGTGTGGGGTGTGTGGGTGTGGGGGGGTGTGTGTGTGTGTCTCTCTCTCTCTCGCCCCTCCCCGTCCAGGTGGGTGGCGCAGCCCCTACACCCGAGGGCAGGGTGGTAGGGAGCAGACTGGGGTCTTCACATGCAGCCCCCCGATGCCTGCTTACCTCGGACGAGGACAACCTGCTCGGCGCGGCCCGTGCCCACGGCGTTGGTGACTGTGCAGATGAAGGTGGTGTTTAACACTCTGTCCACCGAGTGGATGAGCAGCTGGGAGCCCCGGGTGACCACTGTGTCAGGGAGGATGCCGGATGTCCTGGGTGGGGGACAGAGGGTTAGGGGAGATATAGAGATGGTTGCACAGACCAGGCCTGTCTTCACGTGCCCTCGAGTGCAGGCTGGGGCTCCCCTCTTCTCAGACCTCAGAGTTTGAGTCTCTAAGCCACTCCTCCCTTGGAGTCTGGAGTCCAAACTGCCCAGCCCTCCTCCCTCAGATCCAAGGTTCCAGCCCCCACCCCCACCTCTCGGACCCCTCTGTCGAGTCCACCCAGGACTCACGTGCTCCAGTCATAGCCAGTGGGTTCGGGGTTGCTGCGGACGTCACAGTTCAGGGTGACCTCACTGCGGCCGAGGTACCAGTTGTCGTCATAGCCCGAGATGGAGACCTCAGGGGGGTCTGGGGGAAATGGACACTTATGTCAGAGACAAGGAGAACCCCAGCAGGTGGACAGGGGAGGGGGAAGGCTCCCCAAAGCAATGGGACTGCTCAGCAAAGGAGTCCGGGAGTCAGGCCAGGCAGTAGGCTGAGTGTGGACACTGTGTAGGGCGGCCAGTGGGGGGATCTAGAGGGGACAGCAACTGTCTAGTGCAAGCAGTGTTATGAAAGCCACAGGGAGGCGAGGTCTGGCGGCCTAGTGGCAAGAAGCTGCCCTGCAATCCCAGAGGAGCGCGGTTCAAATCCACCAGATGGTCTGCTGGAGAAGGAGGGACAATCTCCTCCTGTAGCAGTCAGATCTGATTTGATGGTACACGCACACAAAATAATAATTTTTTTTTTAAAAAAGAAAGCCACAGGGAGAGATATAGACAGAGAAAGAGAGAAAAAAGAGGGAGGGGATAGGAGAGAGGAACAGAAAGAAAGGGCGAAGGGTAGAGAGAGTGAGATGCAGAGAGAGGAAGAGAACCAGGGAAGGAGGAAGATGGATGGGGAAGGAGAGAGAGACAGAAGAGAGAGGGGAAGAGACAGAAAGAGCGAGTAAGTGCATGTGCTGACATGTTGGTAGGTGGGTGTGTGGCTTCTCAAAACTCCAGGGGCAAAGGACGCCGGCAGCGAGGGGTCAAAGCAGAGAATGTCCCCTGGAGGAAGTCTGTGTGACACTCTCTGGACTCAGCACTCAGGGGGGCTCATGCAGTGTTGCCCGAGGACGTCAGTGTAGACGAGGTTTGGGGACATCAGTGTCCCCAGCGCCGTAACTAGAAAACGCCCATCATGAAAGCTAAGCTGCGAGGGTGGGGAGCTTAGACAAGGATTTAGAACAGTGTTGCTTGTCGGGCTGCTAACGGAAAGATTGGTGGTTCAAATCGACCAGCCGCCGCTCAGCAGGAGGTCAGGCAGTCTGTTCTCTTTCAGAGTAACAGGCTTGGAAACTCGAGGGCACTACAGCAGGGCTTACAGCACAGCCGTGGCTTGGGGAGAATCCCTACTTGGCAGGGAGACGCCAACAGGAGTCCATGGATAACAGTAAAAACCACCACCCTGCTGCTGCCGAGTGACCCCAGAGGTCGGAGAACTGCCCGCAGCGCTTCCGAGGCCGTATGCCTGGCAGGACGCAGTCAGCCTCATTCTCCAGCACACAGTGGGGCTGGAACTGCCAACCTCTCAGCTAACAGATGAGTGCTTACCCACTGCCCCACCAGGACACCGTGGGTGACCTTCCGGGGGTGAGTGCCGGCTGTTTCTGAGTTAACACAGAGCACCCTGGGGTGGGCTCGGTACCAGCAGGGTTCTGGGAGAGGGGTGATGGAAGTAACGTTAGGGGGTGGGGCTCAACCTGGAGACCCTGGCAGCAGTGCCCACTTGTGTCCACAGGAGCCAGGACACAGCAGGTGGGGTGCTGGCAAGCTGGCTCTCTGCAGCCAAAAGCCATTCCCCAGCCCCTCTGGTGTCGGTGCTTGTGAATTCCCTGGGCATAAACACCTCCCCTATGGTGGATTTCAATCTGCCAATAGGACCCCATGGAAAATGGATTAGGGAAGGACTGTTCAGAACTGGTCCTTGAGCCCACTGTAACCTACCATCAACGGGGGACAGCAACTACAAGAACTGTGGCTCAGGTGAGCAAGTGTAGATGGCAGGAGGAGGGCGGTGTAGACGGTGGGAGGAGGGCGATGTAGACGGTGGGAGGAGGGCAGTGTAGACGGTGGGAGGACAGTGTAGACAGTGTGAGATCATCAAGTATAGACAGTTGTAGGAAGGCAGTGTGGACGGTGGGAGGAGGGCGGTGTAGACGGTGGGAGGAGGGCAGTGTAGACAGTGTGAGATCATCAAGTATAGACAGTTGTAGGAAGGCAGTGTGGATGGTGGGAGGAGGGCAGTGTAGACGGTGGGAGGAGGGCGGTGTAGACGGTGAGAGGAGGACAGTGTAGACAGTGTGAGATCAAGTATAGACAGTTGTAGGAAGGCAGTGTG